TATTTAGAAATAATACCAAAATATGATAATTTTCAGAAAACGGAGACAAATTAATTTTCAGAATTTATTTTCACATTGGAATTCGTTCAAGGCTTGTATTACAGCTAGACAAGAACAACTTTAATGATAAAGATAAATCTTACATTAATGCGGATTTTTAAAACATTCGTATTACTCAAGAATGAAATTACTGGACAAGAACGATAAAAATGAGAAAGAACACTAACTATATGAGATTTGATTATTTGAAAAGCGTATTTTGGCAAGTACGGCTTCTACAGTTAAGAACGGGTTCCATTTACAAAACTAAATCTTAATTCATGAAAAGTATGACAAATTTATTTCCCTTTTCAAACTCGTTCAAGGGATTTATTACTGGACAAGAACGAGTTTCAATAGAGGAAAAAAACCTAACTAAATGAAATTTTGATTGAATCGTTATGTTATACATACACAGCCTCTCATTGGTCAAAAAGTGTTAATTATTTGAATGAATCTCAAAGACAAGAAAATAGAACAAAACACACACACACAATTATATAAATAAGAATTAGAACGCAATGATACCAATATTTTTTTTTTAATTCAACGCTATTTTTAGTGAGTGATCAGATTAACCGTTAGCTTGAAAGTAAATTATAAATGGTGTTTCACCGATTCTTTTTTTTACCATGGAACAATGCAATTAAAGTCTATTGTAATATATCTAGAGATATGAAAATACGAAAGAATTATCCTTCTTAATTTTTGAACTAAGAATAAAACTAAACTTTTTATTGCACGAAATTTTAATAAAATACGAAAATCTATACAAAGAAAATAATAACGATATTTTTTTTATCTATTAAGTTAATGAAATGAAATGAATTGAATGAAAATTTCCCAACTATAATATATGTAGATTTCTCATATTTCTCGACTGGCTTCAATTATTACAAACAAAAAGAAAAATGTTTATTTAACGGTTTTTTTCTAAAACAATATATCTTCATTGTTCTTTATTTTTCAAAAGACATCTTGATTTTGTTTGTTTGCCAAGCTTACTTGTATGAGGTAAGTACCATCACTAATCACTCCTAATTATTAAAGATCAAACGACCTAATCAACATGATAATTGGTATTCAATATAATCATCGGTCATGCCTGACATATTTCATAAAAACGGCGCGTGCCGATGAAAACCTTAATAACTTTTTAAATATTAAATTGATTTTATCAAAACAAAATTTTTAGATGAAGAATTAAATTATCTATCGAATGCATACCTTCACCACTAACCAAAACATATATTTCATGTCCTGAGTGCACTTTGTATGTCCTGGGTGCACTCAGGAGGTCCTGAGCGGTGTTTAGACGTACCGTTGTCAAGTTGACAACGGTCCTAAAAAATATCCGAAAAAACGTTGAATCAAACGATATGAACCTACGCAGTTTTATATTATAAGACTGACACACACCAGTATGCTAACTGTGCTGGGTGAGGTGCTGTAACTTGATATACATGTATCATTAAGTTACAGTACTGTTAGGATTTGCCTGCCTTTTTACAGGGACTTTCTATACTAACTGTTAGTATAGACTGCCCCTGGCTTGAAAGTATGGTTCTCTGCTCATCAACGGGTGCGTGATAAGCAAATCAAATATCTTGTAGCAGTAAAATACCTCCGGGGGGGGGGGGGGGGGGGGCACTTCAATACTTAATTGATAGGGGGTGTCGCTGGGGTTCTGTTACCCCACCCTATTCATATAATTTAGATCTTAAAAATGTATACCTTTTCATATATTGCGTGGGTAAAATTGTAACCTTTTGCCATATTGGTTGGTTTTCGTGGGGTGTGTTGGAAAAGTGGAATATTTAAGGCTAAGATTCTGTATGTAATGTTTACTTACGGCGAGACTTTCGGCTGTGAAAAAATGACAGGGCTTTTCATATACAAGTAATTGGAACTTTATCGACCTTATCATATATTTCTGATAGTTTTCCCCACCTATTCCCATATTTTCAAGCTGGAAAAAGTGACCTATTCCAGCAGCACGTCCTATCACCTTGTATATATTTTTGTTTCCGTTTTCTAACTTAAGTTTGCCTCAACCAAATGTTATGAAACTTATACACAATGCTTATTACTACATAATACAGATCAAGTACGAAATTTGGTGGCGACACTTTTACCATTCTTGAGTAATGTCCCTTTATAAACATAAAAATTGCTGAATTTTTCGTTTCCGTTCTCTAACTTTAGTTTGTCTCAACCAAATGTTATAAAACTTATACACAACCGTTCTAGAGTTATGCGTGTTTACAAATAGAAAAATTGCTGAATTTTTAGTTTCTGTTCTCTACTTAAGTTAGCCTCAACCAAATGTTATGAGACTTACACACAATGCTTATTACCACAAAACTCAGATCAAGTTCAAATTTGGGTAGCGTCACTTTTACCGTTCTTCAGTTATGTCCCTTTATAATTTTTCTATCTATCTATCTTCATATTTCCGCACTCAGTCACAACTTTGACTATTACGTGCCCAGAAAAAAGTTAAAATAGCCTTGCAAGACGTCATGATTATTTGGACTAATCTTTTGGCAAATATGGTCGTACCACAGGGGTTTGTTACAATTTGCCGGGTTTTCTATCCTTACGAACCCTGAAAAACTTACCAGGCCAGGTGATAAAAAATCTGTCTCCCCTTTTTTATCCCACCAGAAAATCAAAAGGTTGTCTCCTTACACCTAAATGACAAAAACATATATAAATATGGTATCATTGCCAATGTGACGGCTCTTCAACAGAAACTAAAAACGTAGAAGTCACCGTACAGATTTCAACAATGGGCTAAAAAGCCAAACTGCGTAATAAGCTACAAAAGGCTAAAATAGATAGACAATATCTGACAAGGGTAGAAATGTTCAGAATGTTGAAAAAAATATCTACTGTCCATTTGCATCAAAACTGGCAGCTGACTCATAGGAGTTGTTGCCTTAAATACAGATTTTAACCATTTTTTTTTCTTCATATTTCTTGAATTTGCCTTTTTATCTCGAAAACTGTAATAATTAAAGAGAAACTTAAATCTTATTAAAAAGTTATTGCTTTTCAATGATGATTTTGATCCAGTTTTTGCAAAAACTTGGAAACTTTAAATCTTGGGTAAACTCCTTATATTATACTGCCTGGTCTCTTGGTAGCGTGTTCACCTCACGTGCAGAATGTTGTATATATTGAACCCAACCGGGTAAAACCAAAGACTAAAGTTGGTATTTGCTGCTTCTCCCCTAAGCACCCAGTATTATTAAGGAGTAAGAGCAAATACTGGTTTGTTCAGAGTCAGAATAATGTGTCAAGGTAAGGTGACATGTCTCTCTGAGAACTAGTGTAAGAGAAAAATTGTCTGGTCAGACAAATATAACTAGTATAAAAAGTCCATGGATACAGAATTTACTAGTATATTTAGTCCGATGTCTGTAATTTATGTCCCCAGACTAATTTTCCTAGTCCATGACATCACTATTCCTAGGTAAAAATGTCCAGTTTTTCTAATACTGTATGCAACATGTCAAGTATATTTGGTGTATGAAAATTTTTAAGGATGTACATGTTAGTCTGGCATGTTTTATTCGACCTTGACCTCATTTTTATGGTTCATTGCTCAATGTTATTTTATTGTTTTTTGGTCAGTTTTTCTATTTTCTTATTTTCAAATTAGCAATAGGTCAACTATATTTGGTGTATGGAATGATTGTAAGGTGCATATGTCTGACTGAGAAGTTTCATCTTACCTTGACTTTATTTTCATAGTACATTGGACAATGTTTAGTTTTTGTGGTTTTTTTCGGATACTGTAAGCAATAACATGAATAAGGCCCCTATATTTGGTGAATGGAATGATTGTGAGATGCACATGTCTGTCTGGCATGTTTTATATGACCTTGACCTCATTTTCATGGTTCATTGGTCAATGAAAAGTTTGCATTGTTTTGTCAGTTTATCATATATGCTTTAAGCAACAAGTAAATTATATTAGGCGGATGTAACGATTGTAAGGTGTGCATGTCTGTCTGGCAGATTCATATAACCATGATTGCATTTTATGGTTCTTTGGTCAATGCTAAGTTTTCTTGGTTTTTTATACGACCGCAAAAAATTGGTATGACGTTGGCGTTGTCGTCGTCCGAAGACACATTAGTTTTCGCACTCTAAATTTAGTTTAAGTGAATGGATCTCTATGAAATTTTACCATAAGGACTGATTTTGGGGGTTATGGTACCAACAGTTAAGGAATTAGGGGCCAAAAATAAGCATTTTTGTAACTTCCAGACATAACTTGTGTGTTAGTGTATGGATCTCTCAAAATATTAGGCAAAAAAAGGGGCAAAAAACAAGCATTTTTCTAGTTTCATGACAATAACTTGTGTGTAAGTGTATGGATCTTTCTGAAATTGTACTACAAGGTTCCATATCACAAAGGGAAAGCTGGAATTGATTTTGGGGGCAATTGCTTTAAAATGTTAGGAATTAGGGGCCAAAAAAGGGGCAAAAAACAAGAATTTTTCTAGTTTCATGACAATAACTTGTGTGTAAGTGTATGGATCTTTCTGAAATTGTACTACAAGGTTCCATATCACAAAGGAAAAGCTGGGTTTGAGTTTGGGGGTAATTGCCCTAAACGTTTAGGAATTTGGGGCCAAAAAGGGGCCAAAAAAACAAGCATTTTTCTAGTTTCCAGGCAATAACTTGTGTATAAGTGTATGGATCTTTCTGAAATTGTACTACAAGGAACCATACCACAAAGGGAAGGCTGGGGTTGAGTTTGGGGTGATAAATCATAAGGGGGTTCAAAAAATTTGGGGGGGGGGATTTTCCCCCCCTTTTTTTCCTTTTATTTCTTTAAAATTTTCCATTTTAAATTGGTTATTTCTGATTTATATATAAAAGCAAATAATAATGATATGGTTTGAATAGGTTAATTAAAAATTTTTAAGTTTTAAGACCACATTCATTCTGTGTCAGAAACCTATGCTGTGTCAAATATTTAATCACAATCCAAATGCAGTGCTGTATCAAGCTTGAATGTTGTGTCTATACTTGCCCCAACTGTTCAGGGTTCGACCTCTGCGGTCGTATCAAGCTGCGCCCAACAGAGCATTTTATTCATTTTATCAGATATTATAAGCATATGTCTACTTGTTGGTGTATGGAATGACTGCAAGGTGTCATATAAAAATAAGAAGATGTCTGTCTGCCAAGTTTAATATGACTGTGACCTCATTTTCATAGAATATTGATAATATCAAGCAAAAATGATGAGCAAGACAAGATACAAATGATCCAAAATTGTCAGTTGCCTACTCATTATGTAATAGTAGTTATTTTTATTAAATGATAATGTTTACCCTTTAATGTGTAGGGCAAGAACATTAAAGATAAAGGGAAACTATAAACAAAAGAAATTATCAACAAAAATAGATTTACAGACGTCAACAAAGCCTAAATGGTAAGTCCACTTCTATAAAAGTTATTGCCCTTGAATAATGATTATTATGAAAATAAGATGTGGTATGATAAATGAGAAAACTATCCACCAGAGTTCAATTAAGTGGATGTAAGCAATGCAATTACTTATTAGAGGCCAATGATGACCTGTAAATAATGACAGGCAAAATATGGCAGGGTTGATATAAAAATAAGAAGCGGTACGATTGCCAATGAGACTTTTCTCCAATAGAGATCAAATGACATTAAATTTAACAAAATTAGTTCACTGTACAGCCTTCGACAATGAGCAAACCCTATACTGCATAGTAATCCATAAAAGGCCATGAAATAACAAATGTAAAACAATTCAATAAGGGCATGGCGTCATTTAAAAAGGGCATGGTGTCTATCCATGCTAAACATGCTTGGGGGAAACACCACAAAGGTGAAAGCTAAGTGCCTGATTTTTGCACAAAACAATAAACAAAAAACAAATATGATATATAGCAACAATTGACAACCACTGAATAATAGACCCCTGACTTGGGACAGACACTTACAAAATGTGGCATGGTTTAACATGTTTGCTGGCGCCAAATCCTCCTCTAATTAAGGACAGTGGTGTAAGTGTCAGTTCAATATAAAAACTATAAAATCAGTTGAAAAGGGTTTTTTTTCTGCTCTTGGGTCAGGTTATTTTGATACATTCCCGTTTTCATTCTCAATTTTATTAACTCATTAGAATGCAACAAAGCAGAAAAACAGCTACCAAAAAAAAACACAGACCGGATGTGGCTGGAAATTTATTCTTTCCCTTTAACAAAAAAGACTCAACATACAGATCTATTAGTACTCACAGTTACTGACAGCTAATTCAAAGCAAATATCAACTAATAAAATAAACATTTAGTGAGCACCCAACCCACCCCTAACCTGGGACAGTGGTTTTAATAACAGCACAACATTTGAACAAACTGTAAATAATTGTTGCAATTGGCTTAACTCAAAAGACTGCAACAAGGCACAAAAAACAACTAATATGAAAACCATAGACACAAAGCACTGAAATAAGAGTTTTTACAATTTTAAATATTCAAATGAAATTTTTATCAAAATGTACATAAACATGATGAAATATCCATTTTATTGATGTATTTCTCTTCATTTATAATTTTTGAGTTTTGTGTATTTGTAGGTCAGACATCTTGGTTTTCATGATCATCATTCAACAGGTCAATACTGAACAGCAAACTTAAAGTTGATATTTTTCTACATAGTGTGACTTTTTTATTAATTTGAAATGGAATGTGTTTTTTTTTCCTACATAAGAAAGAGGAAATTTCAACATAATGACTATAAACAAAAAGGAGTCATATCATCATGATCATAGATGCTCAAGAACTTAATCATGTAAATGCAACAATGTAATTATCAATTGAAAGAAGGGAGGAATGAAAAAATATAATAGTATTTTGTTGTCCAAATGAACTTGCTTTGTCCACTCATTTAAATCGCTCCATCCAATAAAGATGTACAGAGGAAGATTTTTGAAGAACAGATTGCAAAAATGTTTTGTCTAAGAATTGTAGCAATATTCTAGTGGATGAAATAATTTATTTACTTGACTCTTATATAGTGGACTGAATAATTGTTCATAGCAAGCTGAAACAAGAAAACTAAAACTTAACAGGAAAAGTGTTTATTTTATAAATTTACAAATATAAATGTAATATTATGAACACCACAAAGGAATAAGATTCAAATCGTTTGCATATTCATGTATTCAGTCAGAATATGAAATATTTTTTTCAGTTCTATTTTTCATAATAAAACAAAGAAGACAAAGATTTCAAATCAATATTTTTTTCTTTTATTAAGACGTCATCATTTTATTTCAGTTTAAGGATTTTATTTTTTGACTTTAAATATTATTATATTTCCAAAATAATAATAATCTTTATTGTCATATAAACAAATTAAAAACATGTTTGTGACAAAATGAAAAAAAACCAAAATACACTCATATATATATTATAAACTTTTTACTACCAAACAGAATTCATTGTAACATACACATTACTGTATATTTATAATTTGAATTCCATAGGATTTTATTTTGTCCCATGGGATATTAAAAATCCCATGGGAAAATTATAGTCCCATGGGATTTTTTTTGTCCCATGGGACAACAAATATCCCATGGGACTACAATTATCCCATGGGACCCAAAAAAATCCTATGGGATTTAACCAAAATCCCATGGGATAATGGTCAATCCCATGGGATTTGCCGTATCCCATGGGATATTGAAAATCCCATGTTTTTCTAAATCAAATTACAAAATATATATAATAATAACAGCAGAAAAGCAATGAAATTATTGAATCCCATGTAATTCCGCACATTTTGGTTATTTACACGACACTGTAGGTCTAAGGAGAGGCAGCGGCAGATTTGCAAATGAGTGTTTTGCAAATTAAAAGTGTCCAGTGTTAGGACTTATCCGCTTGAGTCTTGACTATGGATAAAGTGTCCCCTTACTTTACCTTAGAGGAGATGCTCTATACTTAGAAAAGAAAGATGTTGGGGACTTAGCCAGAGCGAGCAGAATTTTGAGACAAAGTAACAACATAGTAGACGCTGGGCCACTATATATATATATAGGCCAATCTGCCAGCTTTGCACCCGCCTATGAAAAGTAATGCCTAGGTCGGGGATCGAACCCACTTACGTCTACTCCATTGTTCTCTATGAACATGTATAAAATATATTAAACGCAAAAAATGCAGCTATAATGTCAACATGGTAAATTGGCATCAGTTTATTTACAGGGACTTAACTAGACCTTTTTTTAGGCAAAGTGTATTATATAACTCTTGAACGCAATAAAATACCATCAGTAAATACAAATTATATTCTACTGTTAAACAATAAAAACAAAAAAGTGGTTATTCCTTAGTAAACATTAACCCCACCACATTCTGTATGTGCCTGTCCCATGTCAGGAGCCTGTAATTCAGTGGTTGTCGTTTGTTGCTGTATATCATATTTGTTTTTCGTTCATTATTTTGTACATAAATCAGGCCGTTAGTTTTCACGTTTGAATTGTTTTACATTTATCATTTCGGGGCCTTTTATAGCTGACTATGCGGTATGGGCTTTGCTCATTGTTGAAACCGTACGAAGACCTATATAGTTGTTAATTTCTGTGTCATTTGGTCTCTTGTGGAGAGTTGTCTCATTGACAATTATACCACATCTTTTTATTTTTATATTGGAATCCACGATTTTGACATAGGAAACAAACTGTTTTTCCATCTTGGAATTAAGGATATTGCGCCCACTTCCAGCATATCATGCATAATCAGTCATGTGAAAATATATCTTTAAATTTATTTTCTACACTTTCAATTAATTTTAATGTTTTTATTTACTAAAGAAAGGGACATTGTTCAAAAAGACAACCAAGAAACAAATATTAGTGGCGCTGTTTATGGACGTAAACATTTTACACCCGGGTACTATTTTTGTGGATAGATTGACATTTATCTGTCAAATCCATGCGTTTTACGTTCAACTGAATGAACATTTGCCTAATAGGTTATCAAGATGATCTGCTACACCACTGTTATACATATATTGATTATAATGCATTAAGATTATGCTTATAAGTGTATTCAAACAACAGTACACACAGTATTACAGTTAGATTAGAATCCCTTATAGAATAACTAATTGAAGAATTCAAATATAGAAAAATATTCAACGAGTGACCGAACAACACATTTATTCTCGAATGCGCGTAGCGCATGAGTTAATTATCAGTGTTGTTGGGTTACGAGTTGAATATTTTTTGATATTTGAATTCTTTGATTAGTTATTTTTTTTATTACCTTGACAATGGGCTTTTTAATGTAGATAAAGTAGAACATGCAAGGAACTATATTTTTTCTACGCATTCACAATTTGTTTTGATGCAACGTCATCGACAACATCTTGACAACACGTATTGTTGTATGACGTCAGAGGAGTGAAATTATCGAGTTTAGGTAGCAATACACAGTTAGAAGTTTAGTTTCGCATTATGGCCATGGTGAATTTTTTAAATATGAAAGTTTTTGTACAATAAAATAGATTTTTAGATAATTGAAGAATAATATAGCCTTCTTAGTGGGTTTATATGAACATTTAGATTATTTTTAGCATGTTTTATAGTCAATTTTTCTGTTTGACAGTCCGTATTTTCCTATCCGTACCGCCCATAGGTTCATAAATTATTGTAGTATTTATCAACAAAGATTTTGCGCTCGATCTTTTCAATTCAATTTTATGGAAAAACGAGCAGAAATGCATATGATTTTTTTTGGACCTCTTGATAGATATATGTCTATGGATTCAGGAAAGGTATCACTGTTATTGATTGAAATTTTCCTTTGGACCAAATTTTGGAGACTTTTGTGACATGTTCACCCCCCTTTTATGCAATATTTTGTATCAAAGAAATGCAGATTGTTGCCATGGTTACACCCAAAAGAGATTATATTTCACCATTATAACCATTAGAAATCAAATCTATGGAAGATTCTCTTTCTATAAATATACGCATGCATAACACAAATATTAAGCCTTATTTGTTAGAAAGGAAGGGAAAGAGGATGTTTAAAAATTATGAGTGTCAATTTTAAGTTTTTTTCCTAACTGTGTATTGCTACCTTATTTTACATGTGAAATTATCGGTTTTTACATCACTGGGAAATCACGGTAATTCATTGCAACCAATGTAATAATATCAATTATTCATTAATCAACAGATATTTAGGTCATCGGAGTAGACAGTACTTCAGTACTTTGATTATTAACTGGGTCGATCAACTCACAAACTGAAAATAATTCCGAAGTTTAATCCTTATAATTCTCAACTCAATTTGAATTGAACCAGGTCTACACGTTCCTAGTTTATAAATCATTAAGGTACTGACCAGTCAGCAGATATTAAAATAATTCTCTGTAAATAATAAGAAATGTTACAAACTAAAAAAATGTCATCATGGTTGACTTGACTTAGACAAAATCACATGTAAGTCTGAGATTCGTGTTTTTATCTGACGGTTGCAGACAACTGTTTTCTGCATTTATGGGGATCACGATTGTTGAAAATAACATTTTAAATTCAAGTTACTTATTTTTCATCATTATTTATTTGAAAATACGACCGTTATAGATAAGCTGTGAATTTGGACCACCTGTTCATTTTTTCTGCATATAACTCTTCAACGTGATTCTGGAAAAGGATAGACAATTTATGAATATGACGAATACATAATCTTTCAATCAGTTTAATTGAAGTGTGGAGCTGGCATGTCTTTTCAAAAAAATATTGTGGGGTCAATTCTAGTTTAATTTTAATGAATTTCATACGAAAAGAAGCAGAATTGTCACTGGTGATATTCTTTGGAATGAAACGTCCCCCAGCAGTGTTAACCAGTTACATAATAACATGTTCATTTCAATGTAGGTAATTCTCCGTCCGCAATATTTTTTTATTTTATAATGACAAGGCATATTGTGTTACCTTTGTCTGTCATTCCATCCCTTCGAAATTAAACGATCAGGAATATTTTTCGTAATGCCTTCGGTTATTGATATAAAAGTAAGGATATGGTTCAAGTTCAAACGAGACAAGTTGAAATTTCAGCAAAAGACCGAAAGACAAGGTTGTAAACAACTTCAGTTCACCGCAAGGCCCGGCTTCAACAATGAGCAAAACTCATACCGTAGTATAAGTTATAAAAAGTCCAGGGGTACCAAAAGGTGAGCTTACAGTGGGTTGGTAAAGTTTAAAGGATATAGTTTACTCGGATTAATGGCCTTGCTTTTTTTTTATGTTAATGCGACTATTTGAAAAGTAGCTACAAATTAGGGAAAGCCAAGTACGACTACAGTACGAGGGATTATCAATGGAAGGACTAATAAATATCAGTAGATTCAAAAGAACATGTGGACACAATTTTATGATTAAAGTATGTATGTATAGTAAGCGGCATTTTGATATTTAATAGACATCCCGCTTAGAAATCGGCAAGATATAGATGCAGATCCTATTAAGAGGAAGAAAGTTTTGTTTTTCTTGATATATACTGAGGGCTATCAGAACTTTTTACATTAAAAATAAATTCTTATACCACATGATACCTCTAAATTGACAAGGAGACCTTGCTGGTCTCCAAAGTAAATAACAAAATTGTAATAAGCTAAGCAACATACTTATTTCATAAAAAAAAATATGGAGGATGTCCAAAACCAAAAGAAGCATTTTGATATTCAAAAGCGACGACAAATAATAAAAAAAAAGGTTGAGAGCATCGATAAATGGTCTTCTCAGTCTTACAACCTCCAGACACTTTGATTTAGATTTCGGCAAGACATTGATAAATATCCTATAACAAAAAAGATTTTTCAAAGGCAGGATATGTTGGTCCTCAGTATATACCGACAATATCTTCACCTATGCCTGTAATTAATCTATTGAATAGTCATATTCCATAACATTTGATTATTTGATCGATTGTTGGTTGCTTAGCATCCAGTGGCAAATATTTCATGCATGTTCAGGACGATCAAAACATTTGACTAAGAAAATCTAAGCATTGAACCGGGTTCTAGCAGTCGGTTGAACATAATACATTGTAGATAAAATAATGAATAACAAACCGACTGTTCACATTTCCTCTCTTAGTTCCAACATACCTACATCATCTGTGAATACTTTGTATCTACAATGCGTGTGTCCACTAAAGCTACTTTTTTACAGAAAAAGATCCATACACAGATAGAAAACATAATAAGCA